TTTTTGTAGTTTTAGTAGAGACGGGGTTTCATCAAGTTGGCCAGGCTGGTCTTGAACTCCTGACCTCAGGTGATCCACCCGCCTCTGCCTCCTGAAGTGCTGGGGTTACAGGCGTGAGCCACGTGCCCGGCTGACAATGCAGGAGCTTAACCAAAGGACCAGGTTGGCTAGGTTAAATCAGCTGCCCCACGTGACCACCCTTAGTGCAGTCCTGTGCAGGGTAGAGGTCTGAGCCAAAAAGAGGAGGCTCTTGGCCGGGCGCGGTGGCTCAAGCCTGTAATCCCAGCACTTTGGGAGGCCGAGATGGGCGGATCATGAGGTCAGGAGATCGAGACCATCCTGGCTACTCGGGAGGCTGAGGCAGGAGAATGGCGTAAACTCGGGAGGCGGAGCTTGCAGCCACTGCACGCCAGCCTGGGCGATAGAGCGAGACTCTGTCTCAAAAAAAAAAAAAAAGAGGAGGCTCTTGTGTGTACAGAAGGCAATTTGGTGCTATTTTTATTTCATGACCAATTCATTAAGAATGTTTCAAACAGTTAGCATTTTTCCAAGTATTAAGTAATTAACATTTGCCTAAAGAATTACACATTAGATGGATAATGTAAAAATAAAGTGTTTAAGAAGTTAAATGTCTCCAAACATTAAACAGTGCTTGAGATTGGGCATGATGGGTCATGGCTGTAATCCTAGCACTTTGGGAGGCTGAGGCGGGTTGATTGCTTGAGTACAGGAGTTCAAGATCAGCCTGAGAAACATGGTGAAACCCCGTTTCTACAAAAAAAGTACATAAAATTAGTCAGGTGATATGGTTTGACTGTGTCCCCACCCAAATCTCATCTTGAATTGTAGCTCCCATAATTCCCGCATGTTGTGGGAGGGACCCGGTGGGAGGTAATTGAGTCATGGGGGCAGTTTCCCCACACTGTTCTCATGGTAGTGAATAAGTCTCAAGAGACTCGGTGGTTTTATAAGGGGTTTCCTCTTTTGCTTGACTCTCATTTGCTCTTACCTGCCACCACGTAAGACATGGCTTTCACCCTCTGCCATAATCGTGAGGCCTCCCAGCCACATGGAACTGTGAGTCCATTAAACCTCTTTGTCTTCATTAATTACCCAGTCTCGAGTAAGTCCTTATCAGCAATGTGAAAATAGACTAATACAGTAAATTGGTACTAGTAGAGTGGGGCACTGCTATAAAGATACCCCAAAATTTGGAAGCAACTTTGGAATTGGGTAACAGGCAGAGGGTGGAACAGTTTGGAAGCCTCAGAAGAAGACAGGAAAATGTAGGAATGTTTGGAACTTCCTAGACTTGTTGAATGGCTTTGACCAAAATGCTGATAATGATATGGACAATGAACTCTAGGCTGAGGTGGTCTCAGATGGAGATGAGGAAGTTGTTGGGAACTGGAGTAAAGGTGATGCTTTCTATGTTTTAGCAAAGAGACTGGTGGCATTTTGCTCCTGCCCTAGAGATTTGTGGAACTTTGGATTTGAGGGAGATGACTTAAAGAATCTGGGCCAGGCGCAGTGGCTCACACCTGTAATCCCAGCACTTTGGAAGGCCAAGGTGGGTGGATCACGAGGTCAGGAGATCAAGACCATCCTGGCTAACACAGTGAAACCTAGTCTCTACTAAAAAAGTAAAAAAAAATTAGCCAAGCGTGGTGGCAGGCGCCTGTAGTCCGAGCTACTTGGGAGGCTAAGGCAGAAGAATGGTGTGAACCCAGGAAGTGGAGCTTGCAGTGAGCCAAGATTGCACCACTGCACTCCAGCCTGGGCGACAGAGTGAGACTCCATCTCAAAAAAAAAAAAAAGAAAATAAAAATAAAGTATCTGGTGGAAGAAATTTCTAAGCAGCAGAGCTTTCAAGAGGTGACTTCGGTGCTGTTAAAAGCATTCAGTTTTAAAAGGGAAATATAACATAAAAGTTCAGAAAATTTGCAGCCTGACCATGCAACAGAAAAGAAAAACCCATTTTCTGAGGAGAAATTCAAGAAATTTGCATAAGTAACCAGGAGTCAAATGTTAATCGCCAAGACAATGGGGAAAAATGTCTCCAGGACATGTCAGAGACCTTTGTAGCAGCCCTTCCCATCACAGGCCCAGAGGCCTAGCAGGAAAAAATGGTTTCATGGGCTCCCCCTGCTGTGTGCAACTTAGAGACTTGGTGCCCTGCATCCCAGCTGCTCCATCCATGGCTAAAAGGAGCCAAGGTACAGTTTAGGACATGGCTTCAGAGGATGCAAGCCTCAAGCCTTGGCAGCTCCCACGTGGTGTTGAGCCTGTGGGTGCACAGAACTCAAGAATTGAGGTTTGGGGACCTCCACCTAGATTTCAGAAAATGTATGGAAATGCCTGGATTTGGACCAGGCAAAAGTTTGGTGCAAGAGCAGAGAACCTCTGGTAGGGCAATGCTGAAGGGAAATGTGGGGTTGAAGACCCCACACTGAGTCCCACTAGGGTACTGCCTAGTGGAGCTGCGAGAAGAGGACCAAGGTCCTCCAGACTCCAGAATGGTAGATACACCAACAGCTTGGACCATGCACCTGGAAAAGCCACAGATACTCAACACCAGTCCATGAAAGCAGCCAGGAGGGAGGCTGTACCCTGCAAAGCCACAGAGCTGCAGCTGCCCAAGACCATGGGAACCCACTGCCTGCATCAGCGTGACCTGGATGTGAGACATGGAATCAAAGGAGATTATTTTGGAATTTTTTTTTTTTTTTTTTTTTTTTTTTTTTTTTTTTTTTGAGACGGAGTCCCGCTGTGTCATCCAGGCTGGAGTACAGTGGCCGGATCTCAGCTCACCACAAGCCCCACCTCCCGGGTTTACGCCATTCTCCTGCCTCAGCCTCTCGAGTAGCTGGGACTACAGGCGCCTGCCACCTCGCCTGGCTAGTTTTTTGTATTTTTTTAGTAGAGACGGGGTTTCACCGTGTTAGCCAGGATGGTCTCGATCTCCTGACCTCGTGATCCGCCCGTCTCGGCCTCCCAAAGTGCTGGGATTACAGGCTTGAGCCACCGCGCCCGGCCTATTTTGGAATTTTAAGATTTGGCTGTCCTGCTGGATTTCAGACTTCCATGGGGCCTTTAGCCCCTTTGTTTTGGCCAACTTCTCCCATTTTGAATGGGTGTATTTATCCAATGGCTGTACCCCAATTGTATCTAGGAAGTAACTAACTTGCTTTTGATTTTACAGGCTCATAGGAAGAAGGGAATTGCCTTGTCTGAGACGAGGGGCCTGTGGACTTTTGAGCTAATGCTGATATAAGTAGACTTTGGGGAACTGTTGGGAAGGCATGACTGGTTCTGAAATGTGAGTACATGAGATTTGGGAGGGGCCAAGAGCAGAATGATATGGTTTGGCTGTGTCCCTACCCAAATCTCATTTTGAATTGTAGCTTTCATAATTCCCATGTATTGTGGAAGGGGCCCCAGTCAGAGGTAATTGAATCATGGGGACAGTTTCCCCCATACTCTTCTTGTGGTAGTGAATAAGTCTCACGAGATCTGATGGTTTCATAAGGGTTTCCTCTTTTGCTTGACTCTCATTCGCTCTTGCCTACTGCCATGTAAGACATACCTTTCACCTTCTGCCATGATTGTGAGGCCTCTCCAGCCACGTGGAACTGTGAGTCCACTAAACCTCTTTTTCTTTATAAATTACCCAGTCTCAGATATGTCTTTATCAGCAACGTGAAAACAGACTAATACACCAGGCATCATGGCTCCTGCCTGTAGTCCCAGCTACTTGGGAGGTTGAGGTTGGAGGATTGCTTGAGCATGGGAGGCAGAGGTTGCAGTGACCCGAGTATGCACCACTGCACTCCATCCTGGGTGACAGAGTGAGACCCTGTTTCAAAAAATAAAAAATAAAAAATAAAAAAAATTGCTTGAAATCTTAATAATGTCTCTAAGGATTTCATTAAATCACAATAGTACCTTAAGTGTTCTTAAATTCTTTCAAAGCAGGAAAATTTTAAATAAAAACATTCAAAAATTGTCGAGCTATCTTACACTACAAGGATCTACAAGTAGAATCAATTCTGTGGACAGTTGTAGCTGACAGACAGATAATTATAGATGGAGGTGGATTTAGAGGAAGGCAAAATGAATTAACGTACTTGACATCTGGGAACCAGGGGTCCTAAAAACAAGACCCTCACAGGGGAGCAACAAAGAGAGAGCCGTTTATTCTCTGCCAATAACATGGTCAGTCTACATTGAGACTGCCCTGCCTTTCGTTGTTTTGTGTCAAAGACACTTAGATTGGTCCAGAGAAAAAAGGAACAAAGCATCAATGTTGTGATGTGTGGGGCAAAGCGAGAACTAGATGATCTAAGGACAAGCAGGGCTGGGGAATTACCTTCTGCTCATCCAAGTTACAAGGAAAACAGAGGTTTTGGGCGAGCGTCCAAGGACAATCACAGACTCAAGACAAATGACAAGCGGACAGCATCATTACGGGCTGAGAATTCTTGGTGTAGAGGTTGAAAAACGGATCTTAAACCTTTACGGGACACTGACACACAGAGAGGTCAAACCCGCGCCCAGGATGCACATCAGTGACAGGCTGAGCTGGGAAGGTAACCCGGAGCTCCAGGCATCGGCTCCTCCACCTACACCTGCCCTACCCGGTGCGTTTTCTCCTTCGTGCTCCCTGCTGGTGTTGCCTTCTGGAACCTCGGCAGTTTCTGCTTTCACGCCTGCAGGGTTTAGTCTCCGGGGCTGCTTAGGTGGGCTCCAGGAACCAGGAATCCCTAATGCTAGACAACCCGATGGGCGACTCCACCAGTGCTACGGAGCCCTTGGAAACCCGCGGCAGCGGCGCTACTCCACTTCCAGGCGCCCTGCGCCGCGGCGCTTGGCCGTTGCCATGGAGACTGGTAATGGCCCCGCCTCCACGCCGAAAAACAGGCGGGAACCACACAACCCAGAAGGCTGTGCGCAAGTGTCCGCGCGCGTATTGGGCCAATATGAGCTGTGGGGGCTGGACTTCCGGCGTTGAGACTGTCACTTGGCTGCTCGCGTCAGGCCACACCGGTGGTCTGGGCTGTGGCGCGCGGGTCGGGGCCCGAGACTGGCGGCGAGGAAGGTACTGACCGCGAACAGCTGGCCGCGCCCCCAAGCCTCGGTATCTTCGAGTATGACGTGGGCGGCCTGGGGGCGGTCGGGCCCCGGCGGGAACCACGCGTTCTCCTGCCTTGCGGAAGCCCCGGAGGCAGCGAACTGGGCATTCTGCGCCCATGACTGCGGGGGAGGCTGAGGCGCGGGGCAGCCGCGGGACGCTGCGGGCGGGGATGGCGGTGCCGGGTGGTCCACGCCTCTCTCCCCGCCCAGCTGCGGGATCCGGTGGCAGCGCTGACAGACCCGCGTCGGGGAGGCGGGGAAGTCCCTGCTCCCACAGACCGCGCCCCCACGGAGGGAGGCCGCTTCCTAGACCTCGCCTTGTCGTCCTTCCTCTCCCTGCCCTGGGGGGTTGCGGGGGTCAGTGCAAACCCCTGTGTCCAGGGCACCGGTGGGCTCCCGACTTCCGGCAGTCAGGGGGCTGAGGTCCTGAAGGAAGCTCCGAGGGGAGAGTCCTGCGTGTGCAAAACCTGGGAGGGGAGCCGGAGCCCAGGTGCTTCTGGGACTGAGCGCTCTCGATGTGGAGCTGGGGGAGAGGGGACGTGTGTGGCTGCAGTAGCAGGCGAGGAGGTGGGTTTTTTCTCGGGGGCGTCGGGAGACAGAAGTTTTGAACAGAATCAGGACATCCTCTGAGTTGGGATTTTAAAACGGTTCCACCGTTTGTTGCGTGGAGAACAGACATGCAGGGGTGTCGGCATGAAGGGAAGAACCGACTGCCACAGTCTGGGCAGCAGTGGAGGTGAGCGGCCAGGTGAATTCTGGTGGATCTGCGGATGCATCAGGTGTGGGCTGTTTGAAGAACGAACTGCTCCATGTTGTTCAGCCTGAGCGCCTGGAAGAAGGGAGCTGCTGTAGACAGAAAGGAAACTTGAAGGGAAAGCAGGTTTCCTTCGGGGAAAGATCAGGAGTCTGGGATGTTCTAGGTTGGTCATGTCACTGGACCTGACGTTGTTGGTGTCCTGGGCTGAGGACAGGGCCTATGAACTGGACTGAGGAAGGTGATGAACCGATGAGCAGTCAGGCGTGGGCAGTTACAGCTTGAGGGTAAGAAAAACTGGCTGGGGTGCCTGAGGCTATCAGGGGAGGAGTTTGGCAGGTGACTGAGTAGGAGAGGGTGGTGGCAATGTGGGAAAGTGAGGGGGCGCCGAGATCGAGACCATCCTGGCTCACACGGTGAAACCCCGTCTCTATTAAAAATACAAAAAAATTAGCCGGGTGTGGTGGCAGGCGCCTGTGGTCCCAGCTACTCGGGAGGCTGAGGCAGGAGAATGGAGTGAACCCAGGAGGCGGAGCTTGCAGTGAGCCGAGATCGCGCCACTGCACTCCAGCCTGGGTGACAGAGCAAGACTCCGTCTCAAAAAAATAAGAAGAAGAAATTGAGGGGGCGCCATGTGGAGGGAGGAAGGGATTGAGTTTCTCTGTGTTCACGGGTTCTTGGGGCTGCTCCCCTATGATGACTGGTGGGGATCATCCAGTCCCTCAGGCTGGATGAGCAGCCTGGAAATGTCAGGCAAGCACAGCAGGGGAAGGTCTCAGTCATGGGCATGCCTGGGGTGTCCACAGCTGGGACTTACAGCGTTACTTATTACAAAAGCAAGAAGGGCCATGGGGAGGGTCATGAATGGTCATGCTGAGTCATGAGTGGATACTTGCCGCTGCCCTTGGTGTGGCAGCTAAGGGCCCAGCCAGGGCTTGCTCTAGCCCGCTTGTGTAGTGGGGAAGTCAAGAAGCCATCTGGGGCCTGGACCAGGAGGGCAGAGGGGAAGGGTCCCAGACAGGTGAGGGAAGTGCCACCTGAATATAACCCCGGGGTGGAACCCAGGGAAGGCGGGACACTAGGGGAGGTGACTGTTGGGATGGGGAGCTTGGTCCTGGCTTACAGCCATACCTTAGACCATGCCTACCTCCGCCTCCCTGCTATTTTAGGACCTTATGGCCTTCGAGGATGTGGCTGTGTACTTCTCCCAGGAGGAGTGGGGGCTCCTGGACACAGCGCAAAGGGCCCTGTACCGCCACGTGATGCTGGAAAACTTCACACTTGTGACCTCACTTGGTAAGACCCTGGGTGCTCCATGAAAAGTGCACTTGGTGACCATCTGACCTGCCAGGACTGCCTCTTCACTTCCCTCCTGATTGATGAGCAGGATCAAATCTTCTGGCCGGGGCCATGTGGAGCAGGGGTCTGGTCCTGTAGACATGCAGTTTGGTTGGGTCAACCACTCCCTGCGGCCCTGTCCAGCTGTGGCCTCTCCCATGCCTGGGCTCAGTCCCCTTCCTTTGGTGCTCTGGGCACAGTTGCTGCTCTGAGGACACATGAGCTATTCCTATGAGCCCCTTGCCCTGTGCCATCTTTAGATTCTCCCAGTTGCACAGATAACTGTCTATTTCCATGAAGCCCTGACTCCTGCTCTCTATTGAGAGGTGGAGTCTTCACCTGGGGCTCCTCTTCACAGGACTCTCCACCTCCCGACCTCATGTGGTCATCCAGCTTGAGCGTGGTGAGGAGCCCTGGGTTCCCAGTGGAAAGGACATGACCCTGGCCAGGAACACCTACAGGAGGCTCAATGCTGGTGAGCGGGAGCTCAGGGTGGGGTGAACTCAGGACCAACCTGTGGCCAAGCCGATGTCCCTGCATTTCTAACTCTGGAAACATATCCTCCTCTCTTGCCTCCCATCTGACTCCCTTCTCTTCCATCATCCGCCTCTCCTGGAGGCTGCTGCCTTAGTAGGTGCCCTTGAAGGGAGAGCTCCAAGGGCACAGAAGCTGGGTTCACACAGAAGGGCCTACCCTCAGCTGGGTTGTGTGGCCTTGAACCCTCCACAACTAGCGGCCATTATTGATAGGTCATTTATTTATCCCATCATTCATCTTTGTATTCATCAAATGTTTCTTGAGGGCTTGCAGGCACTGTAGACACAGCCTTGACCAGGACACTCATGGTCCTGCCTTCGTGGGGCTGATGGTGCCAGAGGAGAGGCAGTGAGTAAGTAGGGTTCAGGAGTACAGTCTAGAGCATTGGATGGAGGTCATTGCAAGAGCAGGTTTGGGAGTGGGTTCCTGAGACAGGGCACCAAGGGAGAAGGCAGTGCGCTATGGAAAGGGAGGGGGTGGAACAGCCAGTGTGGAGACCTGGGTGGCATGCATCAGCTGCTCAGGTTTTCTCAGCTTCACATCCTGGGTGTCTGGGGGCTGCCACCTTGATCATGGGAGTCCCCACTGCAGTCAGTGCCATACGTGTCAGGGCAGATACTTCCTCAAAACTCCAGCGCCTCCTGCAGGGCCGGCCTTGCCTCTACTTTTCCCCTAAGCTTTTGTGTCAGCCCCCGGGTTCCTTCTTGCCTGTCCACTCAACCTGCCCTGGTCCTCTCCTAACCAGGAAGCCCCCAGCAACCACCGTTTCTCTGCCTTTAGGTTCCTGGAGTGTGGCAGAGGATGGAGATGTTTCTGGAGAATGTCCACCAGCTTTCCCAGATACCCCACCTGGGATGACTACTAGCGTCTTCCCAGTTGCCGGTGCCTGCCACAGTGTAAAAAGCCTGCAGCGACAACGGAGTGCCTCCCCATCTCGGGAGAGAAAACCCACAGGGGTGTCGGTGATCTACTGGGAGAGACTCCTGCTAGGCTCGGGCAGTGGGCCAGCCAGCGTCAGCCTGCGACTGACCTCACCACTCAGGGCCCCCAAGAGCAGCCGGCCCAGGGAAAAGACCCTCACAGAGCACCCGGTGCCTGGGAGGCGGCCCAGGACGCCTGAGCGGCAGAAGCCATGTGCACAGGAGGTCCCTGGGAGAGCCTTCGGGAATGCCCCGGACCTGAAGGCCGCCAGTGGTGGTGGGGATCGCAGAATGGGTGCGGCTTGGCAGGAGCCTGAAAGACTCCTCGGTGGCCAGGAGTCCTCGACCTGGGATGAGCTGGGCGAGGCTCTCCCCGCTGGGGAGAAGTCCTTCGAATGCAGGGCGTGCAGTAAAGTGTTCGTGAAGAGCTCCGACCTCCTCAAGCACCTACGCACCCACACCGGGGAGCGGCCCTACGAGTGCGCCCAGTGCGGCAAGGCCTTCAGCCAGACGTCGCACCTGACGCAGCACCAGCGCATCCACAGCGGCGAGACGCCCTACGCCTGCCCCGTGTGCGGCAAGGCCTTCCGGCACAGCTCCTCACTGGTGCGGCACCAGCGCATCCACACGGCCGAGAAGTCCTTCAGCTGCTCCGAGTGCGGCAAGGCCTTCAGCCACGGCTCCAACCTCAGCCAGCACCGCAAGATCCACGCGGGCGGGCGTCCCTATGCCTGTGCACAGTGTGGCCGCCGCTTCTGCCGCAACTCGCACCTGATCCAGCACGAGCGTACGCACACGGGCGAGAAGCCCTTCGTGTGCGCGCTCTGTGGTGCCGCCTTCAGCCAGGGCTCCTCGCTCTTTTTGCACCAGCGCGTGCACACAGGCGAGAAGCCCTTCGCCTGCGCCCAGTGCGGCCGCTCCTTTAGCCGCAGCTCCAACCTCACCCAGCACCAGCTCCTGCACACGGGCGAGCGGCCCTTCCGCTGTGGGGACTGTGGCAAGGGTTTCGCCAAGGGCGCTGTGCTGCTGAGCCACCGGCGCATTCACACGGGCGAGAAGCCCTTCGTGTGCACGCAGTGTGGCCGCGCCTTCCGTGAGCGCCCGGCCCTCCTGCACCACCAGAGGATCCACACCACAGAGAAGACCCATGCGGCAGCACCAGACTGCACCCCCGGGCCAGGTTTCCTTCAGGGGCGACATCGGAAGGTGCGCCGGGGAAGGATGCCAAGCCCAGTCCTGAAGCCAGCGAAGGTCTGAGGTCCTAGCTCGCAGCCCCACCCTTTCCTGGCCTTCTGTGAATCCCTTCCACAGCTAAAGGGTCCGTCTGCTCTTCAGATCCACGATGGGAAAAAAACCCTGTGCCTGAGAGTCAGGGACCAGGGAGACCCTTTGGCTGTGGTTCCATTCGCAGGTGGGGACATGATTTGCCAGTTTAGCCATAGCTCACACCTCCATCCCCAAAGAGGTAACACTGCAGAAACATCAGAGGGAGGACATGTCAGCTGGAACTCTGGTGGGGCTGAGGCTGCAGCTGGGGCCATAGGAGGCCGACAAAGGCAGCACTGCATGGTGGTGCTACTTCATGTGTTATGAGAGTGGATGCTGAGGTGAGGGGGATGCGGACATGGGGTAAGGGTGGCCCAGAGAAACTTACCACATCTGCATACAAACTGGCCGCTGGATGGACTCTGAGGACATTTGCCCCCTGAGGCCTCTGTTCAAGGCTTCCTGGGGGCCATCTCAGCAGACAGGAGACCACCGGGGACTGGGGATCAGGGTGTGGCCTGTGAGTGTCAGCCTCCTCCTCTGGGAAACAGAAACGCTTTGGGTCAACTCAGCCTCATGTTTGCAGATGCTGGGCGAGATCCTAATGAGAGTCAATGTGTGCTCAGCTCCTGGGCTGTGCTCTGGTCAGCCAGGTGTGAGGGCCTGGCCTGTGGTCACACACACAGCCGACTCAGGAGAGGGATGCCCGTGGTTCTCAGCACTGGAAGGACAAATCTAGGATGCTGGCTTTCCAGTGGCACTCGTTCAGGTTTTCGTCCAAGTCTCAGCTTGGCCAATGCCTGTCACTGACTCGTTTACCAAAGTCGATGTGAGGAGCAGACTTTACAACGGTGGGGACAGTGATAGCTTCAGAGCAGATAAGGTGGAGCTGCTAATTTCTGCTGGGTTTGGTGGCCATTCCCCACCCCCACCCCACCCCCACCCCCTCTATCTCACCTTTCCCTTGTTATGCCTCCTCAATTAAAGGCTGGACAGAGAGCTGAATAGGAAGGACTTGCCATTACCTAAGGCAATGTGTGACTGCCCCACCCCAGTGTGATGGGCCTGTATGGCAGAGACAAAAGGGTAGACTGGGGGTCATTTACTTCCTGTGGCCTTAAGCCTACTAGGCCCCATCCCTACCTGGAACCTCACCTCCAAGGAAATTAATGGTCTTTTCAATGGGGAAGAAAAAAAACAACTAGCATTTGCAATTTAAAATAGATGTAGTTTCCTTTACAGCCTCCTGTCTGTATTCCAGGGCATGGTTCAGTTGTTTGTTTGTTTTTGAGACAGAGTCTCAAGGCAACTCTTGTTGCCCAGGGTGGAGTGCAATGGCGCAATTTCGGCTCACCGCAACCTCCATCTCCCAGGTTCAAGCGATTCTCCTGCCTCAGCCTCCTGAGTAGCTGGGATTACAGGCACCCGCCACCATGCCCAGCTAATTTTGTATTTTTAGTAGAGACAGGGTTTCACCATGTTGGGCCAGGCTGGTCTCAAACTCCTGACCTCAAGTGATCAGCCCACCTTGGCCTCCCAAAGTGCTGGGATTAGGGCATGAACCACTGTGTTTGTTTTTTGATACAGCATTTCAGTCTGTCGCCCAGGCTGGAATGCAATGGAGCGACTCCCCTTTGCCTCCTGGGTTCAAGCGATTCTCCTGCCTCAGCCCCTCCAGTAAGCTGGGATTACAGGCTTGCGCCACGACACCTGGCTAATTTTTATATTTTTTAGTAGAGACGGGGTTTCACCATGTTGGCCAGGCTGGTCTCAAACTCCTGACCTCAAGTGATCGGCCCACCTCGGCCTCCCAAAGTGCTGGGATTACAGGCGTGACCCACCACACCTGCCTACATACCATGATTTTAAAGTTGCAGCTGTTTCCTATTGCTTGTAACTCAGTTGTTTTTCCAATGGTAACCAATTTCTGTTTTAAACTGAAAGGTGCATGAGGGGTGAGTTCTTGTATTAGTCTGTTTTGTGTCACTATAAAGGAACACCTAAGGCTGGGTAATTTATAAAGAAAGGATTAATTGGCTCATGGTTCTGCAGGATGTACAGCCATGGCACCAGCATCTGCATGGCTTTTGGTGGGACCTCAGGAAGCTTGCAATCATGATGGAACATGAAGGAAGAGCTGGCATATCACATGGCAAGACAGGAAGCAAGCGAGAGAAGGGGGAAGTGTCACACACTTTTTTTTTTTTTTTTTTTTTTTTTTTGAGAAGGAGTCTTGCTCTGTCGCCCAGAGTGGAGTGCAGTGGCACGATCTCGGCTCATTGCAACCTTCGCCTCCCGGGTTCACGCCATTCTCCTGCCTCAGTCTCCTAAGTAGCTGGGACTACAGGTGCCCACCACCACACCTGGCTAATTTTTTGTATTTTTAGTAGAGACGGGTGTTAGCCAGGATGGTCTCGATCTCCTGACTTCATGATCCACCTGCCTCGGCCTCCCAAACTGCTGGGATTACAGGTGTGATCTGTAATCGCACCCACCAATTGTAAGCTTCTAGAGAACCTCCCAAGAAGCAGATTTGGAAGCCATGCTCGTATAGCCCTCAGAACAGTGATCCAATTAAAGCTCTTTTCTTTATAAATTATACAGCCTCAGGTATTTCTTTATAGTAATGCAGGAATGGCCTAATATACCTCATGATCCAACACCTCCCACTAGGCCCCACGTCCAACATTGGAGATCACATTTCAACATGAGATTTGGAGGAGGCACACATCCAAACCATATCAGTTCTCTTGTCCCTAAGTGAAGAGGCATTTGCTCCCTCTAAACCCAATTCTAGGTGACTAGAGATTTATGAAGGTGTCGGGATGTTTGTTCCTGATGTGTAGTGGCCTCATAGGGTCTCCCTACTTCTTCCTCAAGAAGGGACTTTCAGCTCAGCCAGAAGGTTCACATAAAGGTTGGTCATCTGGCACCTTGAGCACTCTGCCAACACAGGTGATCATAGATTCCAAGACACATCAAAGAGTGGATCACGACTCACTGGTGACTCCTCGAAGAGTGATGCTCACAAAGCAATACACGTCGTCTAAATACACTGTACTAACCTTGGTCACTTTTGAAAAGATATTTCTACAATTATGGGAAACTGCTCATCAAAACTGACCTTTCCCTTGAGGAGCAAACCACCCACCCTTCGAAACGTCACCTGGATTTATGTATAATACCTATGGAGCTCCAATTTGCAAATACTTAGGTAAATGGACCCAGGTCACTCGAGATGACCCTAAAACGCAGTGGCCAAAATGGAGATCTTTTGAAATTCCTAAATTAATATATTTGTGTGCAAAATAGGAAACTAATATGTTTGTTCTAAAATCAGACAAATTGGATGGGAGCCCTACTTTCTGTTTGTGCAGGCTATACTCTGATAATAAGATATTTAAAGGCTTTTTAAAAAGAGCTCTATAGGCCAGGCGCAGTGGCTCATGCCTGTAATCCCAGCACTTTGGGAGGCCAAGGTGGGCGGATCACCTGAGGTCGGGAGTTCGAGACTAGCCTGATCAACATGGCAAAACCCCATCTCTACTAAAAATACAAAAATTAGCCAGGCATGGTGGCGTGCACCTGTAGTTCCAGCTACTTGGGAGGCTGAGGCAGGAGAAGCACTTGAACCTGGGAGGCAGAGGTTGCAGTGAACTATCAAACTACAGCAAACTCCAGCCTAGGTGACAGAGTCCGTCACAAAAGTAAGTAAATAAAATGAACTGTTTGGTCAGATGTCAGCTTAATTAAAAGCTGATATTCAGGCTTTTTTTTCTTTTAAAGAAAAAATGCCTTTCTGCTTTTTCTCATTTGGATCCTGTTTCTGGGAATTTTTTTTTTTCAGTTGACTGAAACTCCTCTTTAAATATGTCTGATCCTTTTGTTTGCTTCTTTTCTTGTTAGTATGATGTGAAATTTTATTGACCTGAAAAACTTAAAATCTCTCCAAATTGGCTTAGAGTTGTTCTCCCATTTTCTTCTACTATTTCTTCCTTTAGCTATCTTTGGTACCACATAAAGAAATCTAGAAGAGCCTTCTGATGTCTCTGAGATCCTTTGAGGAACACAGAAAAAAGTGTCACATATACCTTTTATGGAGTTCTGTCTTCCTCATGGAGTCCTAAGAATATCAGGCAGTTTATCTTAGGTCTAAAGCTCTGATCTCTTTTACACTGAGTTCTCTGACCTTTTGGCTTGGGGGGTGCCAGGGGTTACTTTGTTGTATGAAAGAACATGATCTTTGGGTGTGCAGTGGCTGGCAAGTTCCTAGCAAGGGCTGAGTTGTGGTGGTGGCTGGTGGCTGTCAAGGGATAAGAATCCTGTGGGAGATGGGCTGATCACAGAGTGGGCTAATGGGTATTGGGTCTCCCACCAGCCTCAGGGAATGTCCATGCAGTGAGGTGCGCTGTGGAAATACAGCCCTGTCCTGTGGTATTTCCATCTTGTGGGAGCCTCAATATTCCATTTAAAAGTGGAATCTGGCGGGCGCGGTAGCTCAAGCCTGTAATCCCAGCACTTTGGGAGGCCGAGACTGGTGGATCATGAGGTCAGGAGATCGAGACCATCCTGGCTAACACGGTGAAACCCCGTCTCTACTAACAAATACAAAAAAAAACTAGCCGGGCGAGGTGGCGGGCGCCTGTAGTTCCAACTGCTCGGGAGGCTGAGGCAGGAGAATGGCGGGAACCCGGGAGGCGGAGCTTGCAGTGAGCTGAGATCCGGCCACTGCACTCCAGCCTAGGTGACAGAGCGAGACTCTATCTCAAAAAAAAAATAAAGCGGAATCCTTGACTTTTTTTTTTTTTTTTTTTTGATACGGAGTCTTGCTCTGTCACCCAGGCTGGAGTGCAGTGGCACGATCTCAGCTCCACGCCCCCGGTTCACACCATTCTCCTGCCTCAGCCTCCCGAGTAGCTGGGACTACAGGTGCCCGCCACCATGCCCGGCTAATTTGTGTGTGTATGTGTGTGTGTTTTTAGTAGAGACGGGGTTTCACCGTGTTAGCCAGGATGGTCTCAATCTCCTGACCTCGTGACCCGCCTGCCTCGGTCTCCCAAAGTGCTGGGATTACAGGAGTGAGCCACTGCGCATAGCCTGGAATTCTTAATTTTTTAAAGCTCTAGATGCTCTGCCTTTCAACTGTGCCAGTTTTTTACATAGATGGGGTTTCTCTATGTTGGTCAGGCTGGTCTCAAACTCACAACCTCGTGATCTGCCTACCTCAGCCTTCCAAAGTGCTGGGATTACAGGCGTGAGCCACCGTACCTGGCCTATGTTGACTTTTACGCCACAAAAAATTGACCAAAATTTTTTTGACAATTGCATCTTTAACCATGGCCATTTTAAGTTTTGTCCTCAGCCGGGCACAGTGGCTCATGCTTGTAATCCCAGCACTTTGAGAGGCCAGGGCAGGCAGATCATTTGAGGTCAGGAGTTCGAGACCAGCCTGACCAACATGGAGAAACCCTATCTCTACATTTTTAGTAGAGATAAAAATTAAATTAGCCAGGCGTGGTGGCCCATGCCTGTAATCTCAGCTACTCAGGAGGCTGAGGCAGAAGATTCACATGAACCCAGGAGGTGGAGGTTGCAGTGAGCCGAAATCCAGCCATTGCACTCTAGCCTGGGCAATAAGAGGAAAACTCCATCTCAAAAAAAAAAAGTTGGCTGGGCGCGGTGGCTCACGCCTGTAATCCCAGCACTTTGGGAGGCCGAGACGGGTGGATCACATGGTCAGGAGATCAAGACCATCCTGGCTAACATGGTGAAACCCCGTCTCTACTAAAAATACAAAAAAATTAGCCGGGCAGGGTAGCGGGGACCTGTAGTCCCAGCTACTTGGGAAGCTGAGGCAGGAGAATGGCATGAACCCTGGAGGCGGATCTTGCAGTGAGCCGAGATCACGTCACTGCACTCCAGCCTGGGTGACAGAGCAAGACTCTGTCTCAAAAAAAGAAATTAAATTTAAAAAAAGTTTTGTCCTCTTCCTTCTTGGGGAGTTCCTTTGAAGCTTCACAGCAACCAAGGAATCTATTTCACTGATTATCCCGGCCCGCGGGATAGTCGAAGCAGGCCCTGGAGGAGGGGGTGGGAATTTGGGGAACAAGAGATACGAGAAATGGAGACAAGACAGTGCTCTGATCAAGTCTCTTTTAATGGCGGTAATGCAGTGCCTTATATACACTTGGAGGGAAAGGGGTTGGGCCAGGGCGAAGATGATCTCATCGCAGAGGGCGTG